AGGTAGGCTGATACACAATGGCAACGGAGAAGTGAGACATAGACAGACAGTGAGCAAACAAAAAGCAAGTAAGACAGACAAGCAACAGACACACTAAAGCATCCCACGCTTAATTAATTAGAGAGCAAAAACACTGCGGGGCTCTCGGCCGCTTGAAAGACAGTTAGGCATACAACAGCCTCAGCACAGCACACCCACACACAAAAACCCAGACACACGCAAAAACAAGCATGTACGCGTCACATACAGCTAAATAAGTTTGCATCACCTCTTTTCACAGCTCTTTAGATGAGGGCAAGAGTGAAGGGAACAGGAATGAAAAGATCAAGGAGAGAAGAAAATGGGTTGGGCTAGAAGACGAGGGGGAGGCAGTGGTGAGAGAAAGAGGGGGATGGGGAAGAGACAAATAGGAAATGTGGGAGGTGGTAGAGGAGAGCGGAACAGGAGGCATGGAGCCGAGATGGAGTGAAGATCAAACAAGAGGTGAGGTAAAGATAGATGGTAGCAGAGGAGGAGAAAAATGGAGTGTCAGATAAAAAACAAGGAGGATGCAGAGAGAGGAGGCAGAGGAGGAGAGCCAAAGAATAAGAGTAGTGAAGTGCAGTAGAGAAGAGAGAGGAGTGAAAAGGAGAGAGGTGCAGGCAGATGAGAGAAGAGGAGAGGAGAGACTGCAGACGCTGTGACCTCACATGCTTGGCTGCAATGACACTGAAGATCATCTCAAGGTTGTTGGATAAGAAGGAGCCCATTCATAAGAGGGTGGGGTTTAGGGGCTAAAAGAATGGGGCTAAAATTGTGATAGGGAGAAGATGACAGGAGGCCAGAAGGAGGAAGGAAGAAGAGACAACAAGATGCAGCAAAAAAAGAAAAAAACTGAGAGGAGGATGAGAGGCAGGAGAAAGATGCCAGGCAAAGATAAGAGAAGGAGAGCATAAGTGAGAGAGAGACAGTGATGAAGGCTACAGAGAAAATGATTCAGTGACTCAGTGGCGGATGCAGTTGTGTGTGTGTGTGCGTGTGTGTGTGAGAGGCAGGCGTGCATAAGTATGTGCACACTGTTAAGTATCAGTATGCACAGACACAAATATGTGTGTGTGTGGATGCAGGTAGGTGTGTGTATGTGTCTGTGTGTCTTGGCAGGAGTGATTAAGTACAATGAGCCTGTCAGCCAATAAACAACCAGGCAGGCTGTGTTCCATTCCTAAATGAGTCCCCCTTATCTGCTACACGCCTCTCCTTCCATGCACCCTTCATTTACTCTCCTTTACATTATCTCATTCACTCTCCCTCCCCCTGCCCCATTATCATTCCTCTTGCATCATCCACTTTGACCCCCCTGTTAATATTTCCTTGCTCAACTACCTTGTTAGCGTTATCTTCCTCCTTCCTCACACCCTCCCCTTCCTCCTCATTCCCTCCATTCTCCTAGAAAACAAAGCAGGAGGAGATGGCATTTGGTCATATTCTCTGTTGCACTTGACTATGTGGTTTACATTTTATTTTATTTTGTTGCAACACTAGTAAGTCTTTACGACACCCTCAGTGTGTCAGTCCACCCCTTTGGTCAAGACTGAGATTACTACTACATACATTTTCATGATACATACAGTTGCATGATACATCATTTTTGACAAACATTCATGGTCCCCAGTGGAAGATTGTGATTTTAGTGCTTCTCTGGCTTTTTAGGGCCATTATTACTCATTATCCATTAATCTGCCAGTTTTTCTAATTACTTTTTAATTAAGTAGTGAAAAATGCCCACAAACCAAGGTGGCATCTGCAACAGTCCAAAACTTAAAGATATTGAGGTTACCATTGCATGTTTCAGGTACTAAATTACCTAAAACTCAGAAAAGTAGAAGGTATGCTACCTCTTAAAGTTAGCTGTAATCAGCCAAATAGCACCTTAAACAGTCTCCAGATGCTTCAGAGTTAGATTTTAAATATTAGTTTGGTATTTGTGAAAATGTTCCAATCCCCACCATCTGTACACATTTACACGCATCACTTGCATGTGAAATGCAATTAACCCATGGAGTGTTAAAGCAACAGTACCTAACTTTTACATTAAAATAACAGCTTCATTTTTATGGTAGACTGGCTTCGGATGGGGTGAATGGGATCTCTGCTGTTGCCACTATGTGCCCGGATGCACTATGTAACTTTGGATCACTGTCCCGGAAGAGAGAGCAAGAGAGTAAATATGAGTGGATTTTACTCACTGGCGAGAGCTAAGAACTGTCCTGATGTTATCTGCTAGCACGAAAACAACAACAACAACACCACAGCAGACTGTACAGCTCTGCTAATGCCATCCACCCATCCATTATCTACAGTATACTGCTTATTCCTGAACAGATGACATTGGGCAAGAGGCGGGGTACACCCTGGACAGGTTGCCAGTCTATCACAGATCTCTGATAGTGTTATTTATGAAATACTTCAACGTAGGCTGTAACCCTGTCTCACCGAGATATGTAGCTTTTTCCAGATGTAAAAAGCCATTTACCTCAGTCCCCCAAACAAATAAATTCATCTCTCCCTAAAGTTTGGTCAGCCTTTGTCCCTGTCACACCAAAGAAGCCTAACAAACCCATCTCAGCTAGCTCATAATAAACTACACTGCCCAATGTATATTATGTGTAACATGAGCCTATATCATGTCGCCAACAACATTTCATTCCATTACACAGATCCACATTCAGATGTTTAGCAAACTATCTGAAAATATAAACAGTATTTCAGTAAAACAAACAAAAAACAAAAAGCTGCCTTTATTCTGTGCTCATTGTTGATGTCACAATAAATAAAACTATGTATATTCGTATTTCTGTAAAATTCAGTACTTTTACGCTTCCTTGGCTTCTGACGTTTACTTTCCCGGTTCAGTAACAGCCTCAACTTGTAAACAAATGCACATGTAGGCTACTGCTGTCCAAGAGGAGGGGGGACAGCGCAGTGTTTAGGACAGTTGGGTACAACTCGGTTACACTCAACGGCTGTAGAGGGAGACAAACTGCCAAGTTACGTATTGTTGCTTTAATATGTCCAAGAGATTTTTGATCCAGTAAAAAGTAACTCAACATGCATCACTGCAACAGGGACACAGTGTAGGAGACATTAATCTGGTCTGGAAGTCAGCCACGGGTTTGGTTCTTTCTCATCTCACAGGGCCTCCTTGGCCAACTGGCAGGGGCTGCTGGTGTATGATGATTTACCGAAATGTCTCCTGCAGCACTGACTTCTACAACATATGCATTATGGAGTAAAGTGAAAAGGTACTACATATAAAATTCTTTTTACCTGGGTTTTGGCCCATTTGTACATTTGCTGGCATTTACTTGACATTTGTAAAAATGGCAGGTTTCTGACTGAAACTGTTTTTTGGCTAAGTGCAGTGAAGAGGCCAGCACACAACTTCCTGTGAAGTCAGAAATGTTCCTTTTTACACAAACCAGCTTTAACCTTGCAATAGTGAGCTTTATGGTGAAGACACACCAAAACGGAATAAATTGTGCACCATTGCTTCCACCACTTCTCACCCATTGCTGTGGGAGTGTTGACACAGGGTGACGCTGACATGTAACAACATTCTTATATTTAACAGTAAATGAATATATGCCAGCCTGTTAGCATGTCTTTGCTTGCTCTCTGTAGTTAACCATCGCTCTATCTGACAATTTCTACAACTTGCACCAAGCTGCATTTACCGTATCTTCTCTTTGTCAGTGAAATCTAGAAGGCAGGGGTCATATAGGAGAGACTGCATCCAAAGAGGTTTTGCCATGCACTCATGTCCAAACAAGCCACTTTGTCAGTTTTCCACTGTGTCACTTCTGGGCGAATTTTGCCTTCATTTGCATAAAGTTAAAAATGTTTAACTTCTGACAACGTTGCCTAGAAGTGATTCGTTTGTGTATCAGTGAAAATGAATTGGAACACTGTTAGAAGTGTTAATGTAAGCAGATCTTGATACTCAAACGAGTTTTTCCACTTGGATCCAGTCTTTGTGTAAGTTAAGCTAATCACCCGCTAGCTCAAGATTCGACTTTAGAGCAGTGCCAGCCTTCTTCATCTATCTGTCAGCAAGAAATGTATCTCCTAAAATGTCAAACAAAATTTTTTGAGGGTGAGAACAAATTCTCTCACTTTGTTGGAAACATAAATTTTCAGTAACCAAAACCCAAACTGCAAACTCTGGGTTAAAGAATCACCTTTTAAATCAAAACAGAAGATTAAATTCCCCTCTTCACTACTATAAATATTCTGAATTAAGACATACAAGACATTTAAAATGTTCATAAATTGTAAAATACTGATAGTTTTATTTTTCAAAAATGCAGCAGAAATGTTTTGCTGATGCTTGACACAATCCAGCCATCTGCTGAGTCAGTAACCAGATATGAAAAAAATACTCAATCAAACATCCCTTAAATGTTACTTTTATATCATTCTGTAAAGGTTCTTCACTTGCCATCCACAGTTTTTTCAGCTTTCATTTTTCATGTATTCTGTTCACAGTTAATGAAGTTCACAGTTTCATGAAGACACACCTCAGGACAAGAGGAGGTTAACTAGGCCTCATGGTGACAAAGCTGTATGTAGTCACACAGATGAGGCTGGGAGGAGGGCAGGACAAGCTTGGATGGGACACAGATTAGGGAAAGGAAAGATGCAAGAAAATAAAAAAGTTACAATATCAGGGTTAAGGCCTTTGGTTGAGTTACTGGGTAGGGTGAAAGTAGGGCAATTTCACAGGCAAGGGCTTTAGCTTAACAGTAGTCGCGTTTGATCAATTTTCATTTTTGTGGTTGCAGTAACAGTTCCAAATCTAAACTACAAAACGTATCAATAATTAACTGAAGCTGATTTTATGAAAGCTGGGTATCTCATAATAGTGATACGGCAGTAACCACCACAGGCCTCATGCATTCACTGTACTGAAGTCAGTAGGAAAACCTCTAACCTCTCTCTGAAATCTAGTTTTTTTTTTTCACAAAATATGTCTTGGTGGGAAATTTGTATTGCTTCAATATAAGGATTTAAGACTTAAAATGCAGCATGTCTCAAGGCGTGCTTGCCTTGAAGTCTCTAACACTGTCACACACTTTGTCCCTCCTCAGCTCCAGGTAAGCTCTACCTCGTTCGTCAAATCTGGCTCTGAATCAAATAACAACACGGTAACAGGTAGTAAACTAAATGTCCAGGCTTTAAAATGTTTGTGACATTGTGTGTTGTGTGATGGTGTTATGGTACAACAATTCTTTCTTTAGAGGAAATACAACTTGGCCAAGTTATTTAGATTTATGCCTTTGATAGATACAAGCATTTGGTAGTTCTTCTTGATATACTGGGGCTCACTGGTATTGTATTTGTCTTTTATCCAGACAAATACAAGAAAGCATTCTTGACATTTTGGGACATGCTAGGACTTGGGGTCCTCTGACTGCACAGTATCTATCTGCAGAGACATTAATTAAGGTCGGGTTTATAAGGAATTAAAGGTAAGGCCTTTAGGAAGAATTTGAGGAACAAGGGGGGCAGGAAAACAGGATGGGATCATGTACAAAGGGTTAAAGATCATGGTTTTTGGCTGGTGCTCACTTATCAAACCAATACTGCATTATCTACACAGTACTAGCTCCTCATCCAATGGTGAAACAAACAAACGGGGGTATGAAACGCCCTATACTTCTAAACAAGTATCTAAATGCTTACATAGTTAGAAATTACTGAAATGACTGTGCATAGCAAATATAGCCTTTAAATAAAGGTACTGTGTACATACTACAGTGGGTGAGATTGAAAGACAACCAGCCTTGCTTGAGGACATCTATACAATAATATAGTAATATTTGAAATGAAAGCAATAATGTGGTTAAATAAGTCATGTTTTAATGCAAGAGCAGGTAAATGCTATAAATCATAATATATCATCTGTATCTTTCCATTCTATTTACAAGAGTTGAACACATAGCTGGTTAGAGTGCTTCTTCAGTAGGTCTGGCGACACTTCAGAGACCCTTTCTTCTTCTGAATCTAGTTTCTGTGTCTTGACAAACCTTCCATTCCTGTGTTTTCCATGTCACGCTATCTCGCTCCGTCTTTCTAGAGTTCATAGCAGTTAAATCATTCTCAGTGAAATCTTAATCTCTTTCCTGCAATGTGACTAACTTGTCCTTGAGTTAATTTTCTTTAAAACCCCCCTCTTCTGCCCTGCCTGTTTTTACATCAATCGCCAGCTGAAATGTGTGATTTTGTCCTCATCTTAGTCTGATTCTTTGTCAGATAGGGCCTTTAATTTTTTTACTGGAAAAAGTGCTACATTCACATTTCACAGGTTGTTCAGGTTGACATCAGCAGTCTGTGTGCGGGACTTCTTAGCTCAGGTCTGCATCTGCATCTGCTTTGCTCAGTCCCACCACTTCTTCACTGTGCAACATGGGTACAGTGGGAGATGTAAACTGATCCATACCTGACCCATATGCCACAGCACTCCTCTTCCTCCTCGGGTGTAGAAAAAGCAGAAGACTTAATATCCGAAGCAGATTTTGACACATCTGATCAATGTCTTTGCTTGTCTTCTTCGAGGTTATGAGCGAACGATGCATAGAACTGCATCTCCTGGGGCCTAGTCTGTCATCAGTTCCCCCATCATGCAACACACAGCTGTCAGTATTTTCATCCTGTTACTGAAAATGTCTTTCTGTCACTCTGTCTGTAACAATCCTGCAGGGTAATTAGTAGAGGTATTTAAGTCTTCTGTTTATTTGTATTTGTGTGTGTGTGTGTGTGTGTGTGTGTGCTTGTGTGTCTGTGTATGTGTGTTGTAATTATGTCCCTGTATTTGTATTCTTGCTGCGGTTATACACGCGTGGTGGAGTGTGTGTGCGTGGAGATGTGTGTGTGTGGCAAGTGTGTATTACTATATGGGCTATGGTGTGTGTATCCCTGGTGAGGATGCCCCATTCTCATTCCCACCACTGATCCAGGTGTCATGGGGGTCATTGGCGTCGCTGGGGTAACAGGGTGTGACCCAGGGGTTACCGGCAGCGATCCCGGGGTCAGAGAGGTCATGAGGGGGACATCATCAGGTGAGCGGCGCAAGGTGAGGGTGTAATCGGGCGGGCAGGTGAGGCGCACAGTGTCCAGTGTGCTGTAGATGTCCTGGGTATCCAAGCCATCCAGAGCATCCAGCGTATCCAAAGTGTGACGGTGGTGAGTGTTGTTCCTCTCATCCGCTGACGCCGCATCACACTCCAGCTGCTTCACCTAAAAATTTAAATGGTCGCATCAGTGATGAGATGGTGATAAGGTGCAGAAACAACAGAGAGAAGCAGTCATGTAATCAACTAGGGCTGCAACTTTTTTTTAATTTTTTATTAATCTACTGCTTATTTTCTTGATTAATTCATTAATTATTACAGTTTTATACTACAAAATTTTAGAAAACATTGAAAATGCACAACAAATAGTCTAAAACCCAAAGATATTCAATTTACATAGATAAAAAACAGAAATCTTTAAATTAGTTACTAATTATTTTTCAGTTAATCAACCAATCACAGCCGAATCAAACCCAATATCATTGTGGCTGAGCAATACTGCAATATAAGTATCACAATGTTAATGTGATTTTTTTTTATATTGACATGTCATGATAGCACAAGCAATGACATTTAAAATAAAATTACAAAAGCAGCTGCAATGCGGAGCCACATTAACGTAGTTCAGTTGCCAATTAACGGTCTTTGTTTGCTAGAAAAGCGATCTGACATTTGGCATTCAGTATGTGAGATTCAAAACAACTGGAAGAGCTCAAGACAGGCCAAACAGTCAGAAGATGAATTGGAGGCAACTGGAAGCAATTCAACCAATTGGACACAGCTCACACACATGCCCGTGTATCAAAACGCACACAAACATACATTCTCACACTAAAAATGTTTACTGATGGCAGCAGTTGTTTCGCAGCAGTGGTCTACTGGCAGCTGCTCCACTGGGGGAAAAGAGTTCATTCAGATCACACGTTCAGTCACACATGACCTCATCTGGCTTATTGTTACTTGAAAATAATAGGTGCAATTATTACAGATAAGCTAAGATATTTTCAAGATAATTATAAGCACACAGACTGCATGATACAGTGGCTTCAGCTATTTAAAAACCCCCATACCAAACATAGCCACAGTACAAAGACACACTGACTCACCTGTAATGACATCAGTCCTTCCCCCTGTAGGTGTGCGGCGACATCTGCAGGTGTGATGTCCCGTCTTGGGGGAGGAAGCGGACGTGGCCTACGATGCTCTAGACGCCTCTTGTCTTTCTTGTACAGCAGAGCCGCAAATGCAAGGATGTTAAGGAACAACAGTGATGCTCCCACAGCAATCGTTACAGAGAGTTCAGTGGAGTAGTCCTCATTAGGGACACGGACTCCGTTTTCCGCTCCACCTTGGCCTAAAGCAGACTCTGGAGGTTGTGGGGTACCTCCTTGTGAACCTGGGTGACGGGTACTGCTAGGAGGCCAACCTTTGGATAGACGTTTAGTGTAAGAATAAGGGGTGTCATCCTGTGGAGAGGGACTATGTGTGAAGGAGGACACCGATTGGAGGAGCTCATTGACATGATGCAGGTGAGGGACCAGCTGGAGCCAGAAGGAGATTTTGGTGGCCCGGTAGTGGTCTCTGACACGAGGCTTGAGCCCGATGTGGAGATACCATTGCTCCTTAGGGGTATATTTAGACCAGGCCACTTCTTCAAAGCGGTTAGGTTTAGTGTGGATAAACTTGGTGTCTTGAGGAACTGGCTGGTTTGGATCACTGGAAAGTGTGAAGCACAATGAGTTAGTTATTCATCTAAAATGTTTTTTTTAAATATAAATATATATAATTTAGAGGTAGCAAATGAGAGGGTGATTGGCAAAACATTTCTTTTTAATCTTAGAATATGGCCTGATGAAAGTCCAACTTTTATGCAACATGTTGACAACTTTATAAAGAAACTTAGGCTGAAGATGGGATTTTATTTTTGACACAAGACCTTTCTTTCTCCAGAAGCTATCTTTTTAATGATCTTTGACTAGAGTGACAATATCTTTACAGGTTGAATTCTGTTTACCACAGTGCATTAAGTTTGTTCCCAACTTAAACCTCCCTCATACCTTTGTTAAAAACAGAGCACATTTTCCCTTCGTGACTTCACAAGACATATATATCTGCTGTTTCAAAATTTCAGACATTCTGGTTTTGGTAGTCACTCTGTTTTTAGCTCTTGTAGATTTTGTACATTGTTGTCTGTTCTATGTTTTTATGTGTTTTGTCCTTGGCTAGGGCATCTTTGGAAAAGAGATATTTTAACCTCAATGCAGCTTCCCCTGGTAAAATAATGGTTAAATACACATGAATAAAATAAGTGGTTTTTATACTCTCTGAGCTGGTTGTTCTCAGACAAATAGCTGTCAACTCTCAGATAAGCAGAAAGATGAAATCGAAATCAAATCACCAAAATTTACAGCACAACTTGACAACGAAGGGGAGACATAGCTGCTAAAAACTACATCAACAATGGATTAAATGAATTACAAAAGTTCAGTCATGCCAATATTTCAATAATTTCAGCTTTTCAAATTAGAGACTGGCAACAGAGCTGCTGAAGACCTTTCCTCAGCTTGCCATCCTCCTCTGAGGAGGCCCGGTATCTTATATGCTGGCCAACAGTTTCAACGAGTGCTGGCACAGATCTTTCTAATCAATATCCAAGTAACATAAGAAAAACCTGATTGAAAAAATATTTGGACAAAGCCAAACAAGTTGACATCGATTTAAGTCCACTTCATATGCCTCTTACAAAAACATTTCAGGTAATGCCCACTTCACACTTCTGCAGTTTGTACAGTGTGCAGATATTTACCCCTCTAGCAATCATAAGACAGATATCTCCAGTAAAGTGTGCTACTGTGCAAATATCCTGAAAAATCACTTCTCTGACACACACAGACAGGCATTTATTTGTGTCAGCAGCTAAAGTGTCGTAAATGATACAACAGCACATCTTCAACGACTTGCCAGTTACACTCTGTGTGCGCACTTGTCAGTCAACACCTTATGAACGCTGTAAAATAGCAGCTAATGTGAAGAGCGACCAGGAAGCTGAGAATTTATCCGCCTACACGGAGCCTTACAAAATATGCATCAGGAAGCGTCACATATACCCCGTTAAACTGAGCTGTCGCAGAGCTCCAGCGCCATGTGAGGCACTCTCGGCTGAGTGAAATCTTTCATCAGAGAAAGTTCCCCATTGATAATTGAAGTGCATACTGATTGGTGATTTTGCTCTGCAGCTTGCTGCAGTGGTAATGACTATGGGCTAGAGACTGCTAACTTGATGTAATGTAATTGCTTTAATGTACCTTAAAGTCAATTGTTTTCATGCCACAGTCAAAAATACACTCATTTGGCAGTTTATTAGGTACATCTGACTAAAACTAATGCAGTCTATTACAACAGTCCTGCAATATGCCCTCCTTCATGAAGGTGATAACATTCAGTGTGTGTTCCAACTGCTTTAGAGAGGCGTTGAGACACTTGTATGGTAATTTTAGTAGATATAATTTGTCCTACTGCTTTTGCTGAACCATACTTCATTACACAGAGAGGTGTTTTTGTTATTTAGCATAGCCTCACTGATATAAATGGGGTGGACAAAAGCATAGAAACGCCTGTTAATTCAGTTCAAAAGCACCACAGCCAGCACCTCTAACACGTTCAAATAAAGCTGAACACTGTCACCCTTTTCAAGGGAAGATCTATTGCAGGACTGTTGTATTAGACAGCACTGGTTTTAGCTTGATGTATCAAATAAACCATCAAATGTGTGTATGTAAGAGCACTGCCCTAATTCTGTATGTTGTGAGATAACAAGGCTTTGGGGTGATTTAGATCAAGGTCTAGACTGCAGATGTGAAGAGGTCTCAGTGGAGTGAGCCTCGACTGGATTAATTACTGGTAATTACTCACTTCGAGCACTGCACAAAGAGGGTCCATCCTCAGCAGATACTTTTATCTTGTATATCATGTCAGACTGGAGAGATAAAATGGACTCTTATCACTGTGGATTGTCAGCTTTTTACACGTTTGAATGCAGATTCTTTTTCGAACAACTGTATTTTTTCTTCAGACTGTTTCACTTTCAATTTAATAAATTGGATGTGGCAGAAAAATGTTAGTTATATTTTAACATACTGAATAAGCTACCTTAGTTTTGACCATGAAGAGAAGAGAAGAGGGGAAGAGAGGAGAGAGGAGAGAAGAGAAGAGGGGAAGAGAGGAGAGAGGAGAGAAGAGAAGAGGGGAAGAGAGGAGAGAGGAGAGAAGAGAAGAGGGGAAGAGAGGAGAGAGGAGAGAAGAGAAGAGGGGAAGAGAGGAGAGAGGAGAGAAGAGAAGAGGGGAAGAGAGGAGAGAGGAGAGAAGAGAAGAGGGGAAGAGAGGAGAGAGGAGAGAAGAGAAGAGGGGAAGAGAGGAGAGAGGAGAGAAGAGAAGAGGGGAAGAGAGGAGAGAGGAGAGAAGAGAAGAGGGGAAGAGAGGAGAGAGGAGAGAAGAGAAGAGGGGAAGAGAGGAGAGAGGAGAGAAGAGAAGAGGGGAAGAGAGGAGAGAGGAGAGAAGAGAAGAGGGGAAGAGAGGAGAGAGGAGAGAAGAGAAGAGGGGAAGAGAGGAGAGAGGAGAGAAGAGAAGAGGGGAAGAGAGGAGAGAGGAGAGAAGAGAAGAGGGGAAGAGAGGAGAGAGGAGAGAAGAGAAGAGGGGAAGAGAGGAGAGAGGAGAGAAGAGAAGAGGGGAAGAGAGGAGAGAGGAGAGAAGAGAAGAGGGGAAGAGAGGAGAGAGGAGAGAAGAGAAGAGGGGAAGAGAGGAGAGAGGAGAGAAGAGAAGAGGGGAAGAGAGGAGAGAGGAGAGAAGAGAAGAGGGGAAGAGAGGAGAGAGGAGAGAAGAGAAGAGGGGAAGAGAGGAGAGAGGAGAGAAGAGAAGAGGGGAAGAGAGGAGAGAGGAGAGAAGAGAAGAGGGGAAGAGAGGAGAGAGGAGAGAAGAGAAGAGGGGAAGAGAGGAGAGAGGAGGGGAGGGGAGAGAAGACGAGAGGAGAGGAGAGGAGGGGAGAGGAGAGAAGAGAAGAGAAGAGGGGAAGAGAGGAGAGAGGAGGGGAGGGGAGAGTAGGAGAAGAGAAGAGAAGGGAGGAGAGGAGAAAGATTTGTTAGCAGAGGCCGACCTCTCAATCTTCTTTTAGGACATTACCTTGGCTTTCCTCAAGGTCTTTTTCAAGAGCAGGGGTTCTTTAACTTTCTCAGCCAAGGTCCAAAGAAGAAAAGCCTTGTCAAGATTTTGACATGACAAAGAACCTGTGTGCATCCTCTGCCAAAATTAGTCTGCAGTGCTGCTTTCATGATTGTATCTAAAGTTTAGTCTTCTCATCAGACATCAACCTTTTGAAAGAAAAGACATTATAATAACCATGAGCTCATTATTTTTGTTACTCTCAGGCATCACTGTTTTCTTCTAAAGCTGCACTGAAACGCAGTTTCTTTCAAATGAAACCCAATATTTCTCAAAAACAGATTTCTCTGTATTATTATAATGTTACCTATCTTTGTAGAAGATCTGACGGAGAAATTGATTTCAGCCACTAAGTCTGCTGCACGTCTCCTACAAACTGATAGCAATGCAATTTTCCCAAATTGCAATAAACATCTGTTACCTTCTCCTGTTCTGTTTTGATTGTCCTTTCTCTGTGGAAACCTCGACAGATACAGCAACTCTACACCTATATTTATGTTTGTTATCCAAATGTTAAACATGAAGGGAAAGTATCAACTATTGCAAGGTGGACAGACACTATGCCGTTTTTCTTGAAGACACCACAGACTTGAATCTTGGCTGTCTCATGTCTTGCTTGGAAGAGATTTGCTCCGTTAAAATCAACAGTGAGCTGTCCACAGTCAGCGCAACACTTCATGTTGCCAGAACCCTGTCTCTACAGAGTCAATGATAAAAGGATGACAAACAACTGATTTCCCATTGACAGCTGTGCATTTTCTTTTACATTTGAAAATGGGATTAAACAGCCTGACTTGCATTCAGTATCATGAGACATTTTTACATGTGGGTGGGGATTAGATACCGCATTAAAAGCAGAAACTAGAAACCGAGTTCTGCGTCTGAGAAGGCAGAAATAATAAGAAGTGAATTATGCTGAAGCTGTTCTTTGTTCTGTCTTGTTTTTTGATTATGCTCTAAATAGTTTCAGGCAAAAGAAAACTGCTCTTCTCAGTGGGATTTTTCCAGTTGAAATTAACATTTCACATCAGTGTTCATTTTAATAGCTCACCCAGTCTTGGCAAAGTTGGTCCAGTAAGTCATGACTACTGCGCTCAGCATCACATCGTTCTTGGAGAAATTACAGTTGAACAGATCAGTGGGTCCCACCATGGGTACACCAAACACATAGGGCACCTACACATACATATAGACACATATTAGAATAGCTTTCTGTTGCAGGAAAGCCATTACATTCATCCTCATGACACTAACCATAACCGTAACTGAATCACATCAAACTCTAACCTCATCCCACTGAAGACAGAGACGGCTTCATGCATAACTGCAGTGAACTTAAACTGAGGTCAATGAACTTGTCTTCAGCTTGACAAGTCATCCTTCGTCATATGGGCTGAAATCCATCCCCGCTAACTACAAATGCATGCACGCATGCACACACACACACACGTTCAGTGTCCTGAACATAAGGCAATCCAGTGCAAACCCAAACAAAAAACACGATGGCTGTAAAAACTATAATCAACATAGCAGTGAATATATAGAGAGATATGGGAAATCAGATCTGCAGGAAAATAAATTCCATGGCTGTTTCGAATTCTTAATCTGTAAAGGATTGTTTGATTCAACCTTTTAAGAACAGATCAGTGTGAAGCAGGAGCAAACAAAACCATGAGCTTCTGCTCATTGTATGACGTTAGCCACCTAAATGCCCAACCAGTCACTCTTGTAAAAGTTCATATCATTACTCCTCTCACTGATATCTAATACTATGCCTTGTTACAAAAATGTTTTTACTAAAGCTGTAACTAATGTTATATCTGTGAAGCAATGCAATACTGAGACATCATTCTTACCTCATCACCGTGGGCGGAGTCAGCCCAGGGTGGAGTGGCATCACTCTGGCAGTGGTGGTAAAAGGAGTAGAAGTAGGTGGGAGAGCCGTACTGAGCATGTAGGTCTGCTGTGGCGATTGCTGGAGCCACCCACTGGTGGTCTGTAAATAGCGCTACCAGAGTCTTCCGTCGGGTTTCTGCGTTGTCGCGGTCCGCCCAGTCTGTGTACATGAACCTTTAATAAATATATTTAAAAATAGCCAGTAAGCTGCTTATCATTTAAGTTCATCTTCCATCACTCAAGTCTTTTATGAAATCTATTGTTGACTGTAGCTTAATATTTATTGAACATGTGCTGTAAGTTATCAATTTTCTCATCTAACTCTCGGCCACAAAGTGACTGTCTGTACTATGTGAATGTCAAACTATGGTCTAAAGCGCCTGTGGCATGCTTTTCCTTGTTTGGACTCCAAAAATGAGGCGTATGTACAGTATGTTCTAGTACTTCTATGCAGAAGCAACTCGGTTTATACAAGTCTCACAAACTTTCACTTGCAAGACGTTTTTCCTGGTTGTGTTGGGGAAGACGCAACGATCACCAGTTGGATTTACCGACCTTGAAGTTGTAGCTTCCTGACTGGCAATAAGAGGTGTGCACACTTACATACTATCCTTTTGTTTTATCATTCTGAAATAATTAGAGACTACTTGGAGCTATGATGGGTGCAAAGCTAATCTAGAGGCACCCAAAATTAAACATTAAATGGCTGGAAATGAGCATGCCATGTGCACTTTCAATACATTCAGATATTTAGCTACATCACTCACCTTATGCTCTCTCTCAGCGTGTCTCTGCCTTCTGGGTATCCATACAAACTATCCACGAAGTCTGACACAGCAAAGTCAAAGTCCTCAGCAGTAACACCATCTTCTGAGTCCACAATTCCCTCCACAAACTTCACGCCCTCACCCTGATTAACCCCCAGCATCACATCATAGTTCAGAAACTCTCCCTGCTCCATCAGAATCTGGGGGTCATCTGGTATAACATCACCATCAATCACCGGGGCAAAAGCTGTGTGATATTTGGCTGGAGTTATGTTCTGCTCCACAAGCTCCCGGTAACTCCGGCCCTGGAGGCAGGCGACCAGTTGGTTGCTGTCATCGATGCCACAGCCCACCCTCTCCCCGAGCTGTCGTGCATACTTGCTGGGCTGATAATTGACAGCCCAGCTGGCTAAAGCGCTGCCACTCTGGATGATGGCTCTGTGGAACAAGTCTGAGACACACATGAATACAAATATGGGTGTATAAAACATACAATATACTGTACACTGAGGCACAAACCCATACATTTATGGATGCACATGCACCCACATGCACATGTACAACCATATGATTGGACTCTTTGAGGTGTACACCATACATTTGCACTTAGAAACAGATGCAGAACAAGCATTCTCACAGCCAGAAAACACTGAACTCACAGATATGCATTATTCAGAAGGACGGCAGGTTATGGTTAGAGCACCAGGTTCAAATAGGTAAGGTTTTAGTATTTAAAATAATACAGCTCTTAGCTAGATGAGTCATGAGAAGACTCTATTATTCAGTGGATTCAAAGGCTTTTTCATGCATTTATACCAGTACATTAAAGGTGCAGTGGGCAACCGGAGACCTTGATAAGTTTCATAAGCCTAAATGTCAGAGCTTTCATAGCACCCACCTACCAACCAGCTTGTCTACCAACCCTTTATGTATTTTAATTTGTAAAAGCCTTTCCACATTGTTGCCACATACAGAGAGCTGAATAAAGGCAAAGCTAGTTTTTGCCCTTGATTCTCCCTTACCCTCAGAGTAGTGAGACAAGGTGAGGAGGCTGACACAGGAGGCTCCAGCCCCAGATCCAAATACAGTGACTCTGTTTGGGTCTCCTCCGAAGGCTGCGACGTTCTCCTTCACCCAGCGCAGAGCCTGGATCTGATCCAACAAGCCGTAGTTCCCTTTTGCTGCCTGGTCACCGGTACTAAGAAATCCTACAGGCAGACAGAGTGAGGTTGTTAGGATACTCAGTAGAACCTAAACCACTTAAGTTTAAAGATGGACGTTAAAATCAAATCTGAAAAGCTCTGAAGACAGCTGAGCACACTAGGTAAAATAATAAGCCTATCAAAGATGATGTTCCTGCTTACTTAAAGACAGAGCATCAGCATCTTACAGTTATGATATGTACAAACACATAGGGGTGGGAGTGACTGGTTAGACACAACATCCTGGTATCCCCACTGTGAAGATCAATTATGCACGAGTCTTGTTTATCACAAATTTAAAATTAATGAAGACTTATGTGCTTCCCCTGCAATCTCTCAAAAAACTGAATCAAATCAACAAGGTACATCCATATTCATGTAAGTGAATATCAGCTTACAGCATACACAAACCTACACACACATGCAGGTGCAAATGCAGCTCTCCCTTACTCCCTTTACTGCTGACATTATTAGGTAATCACAAC